TCATACCATGTGGAGTATTCAAATGAGAAATACATATATTTTTTATATTAAACTTACATAGGTCCATCCTTATTGAAGCTCAGCAGACATAAAAATATGTGTAGCCATATTCTCCCAGTGTGTAGGATATTCACTAAAGACCAATAAAGGCTTTATAAATTGCATTATCTGTGTGGGACTATAAGGATGGCACTTAGTATACTATAACCGTCACACTCCAAGGGGTACCCTGATATTCTAAAACAGTTACTGCTACTTTCAAATGTGTGTTCTTGTTTTGTTTTTAATAAGGAAACATCTTAGAAACCCGCAGAGATGGACCCACTCCTTATCAAAACAAATGTTATTTATCCAAACTCCTGTAGAATGGTATTAACAGTATTGGTTCTCTTGTCTCATATTGTCTATTTGATTTAATAAAAATTCATTAAATTTCTTTAAATATACTTAATTTTATAACCATTTTCAGCTGATCATGGAATTTTAGCAGTTCAAATATATAGTCTCTATTTTTCTCTGTCTCTGAAATAATACTAAGGCCAAGGACACATTATTGAAAGTAGTATCGGGCTGGGCGTGGTGGCTCACGCCTGTAATCCCAACACTTTGGGAGGCCGAGGCAGGCGGATCACAAGGTCAGGAAATCGAGACCATCCTGGCTAACATGGTGAAACCTCGTCTCTACTAAAAATGCAAATAAATTAGCTGGGCATGGTGGCAGGCACCTGTAGTCCCAGCTACACTAGAGGCTAGGTATGAGAATGGCGTGAACCCGGCAGGCCGAGCTTGCAATGAGCCGAGATCGCACCACTGCACTCCAGCCTGGGTGACAGAGTGAGACTCCGTCTCAGAAACAAACAAAACAAAACAAAACAAAACAAAAAGAAAGTAGCATCATTAAGTATTCTGTTCATAGTGCATGAGTGTTCCAGTTACTTATTTCGGAAGTCATACTAAACAGAGAGTCATTACTGTAGAAAGGGCATTTTTAAAACACACATGTAGTGAGAAATTTATTTGCCTACAATGATAATAGCTAAAGTAAAGTAGTAAACTATGACTGGCCTATAACATGATTCTGGGTGAACCAAGGGAAGTTGAAAAACTAACTAATCAACACAACTAAGCTATATAAAGAATAATTCTTACAAACATTATTCTTGGCATTAATGTGATATTCATTTTTTCCCTTGAGAATTCGGGAATTCTTTTTCTTACTCAGATTAAACAACTGTATGAGCACAATTTTAGACACGATTCAAAAGAGAACATAGAGCAAAAAAATAAAAAAAGTCTACTGCAATGACTCAATATGTGTGTGTTTACTCACCACAGTTACACACTTGTTAGAAAGCTGTCAGGATAAAGGGTCAACTGAAATTCACAATGACTCTTGTCGCACCATGCTCAGGCTCAGGCACATCGTTTAAAATGATGAGAACACATGGACACCAAGAGGGGAACAACAGAAACTGGGGCTTACCAGAGGATGAAGTGTGGGAAGAAGGAGAGGATCAGGAAAAATAACTAATGAGTTACTAATTGCTTAATATTTGGGTGAAACATAATCTGCACAACAAACCCCCATGACTCTACTTTACCCATTATCAAACCTGAACTTGTTAATGTTTACCTATATATCAAACCTGTACCCCCGAACTTAAAATACAAGTTAAAAAGTAAAAATGAAATGAAATGTGTTAGTTTCTTTAAGACTGAGAGCTAACATTGTATGTTTTTTTCATGTACCACATCATGTTTTGAAATATACATATATTGTGAAATGGTTAAATAATTAGCAAATGCATTACATTGCATAGTTATTATTGTGTGGTGGGAGCACTTAATATCTATTCTCTACATTTTTCAAGTACACAATATGTCATCATTTAGTTGAAGCAATTGTGATTCAAAAAAGAAATGTTTTGTGAAACTCATAATGAGAGGATAATTTCTAGAGAGAATATCAAAACACGCACAGGTAAACTTTATAAAGCCCCTCAAAACTCAGGAAAACATTTTATTTCTTTGCCATTGAGCATTTTGGAAATATTCACCACTCTAACACTAAACTGGATACATGAGATGAATTTATCTCAGTTCATTACTGTTTATTGCTGAAAGTCTAATAGAAGATATTGGCAAATTTGGTCCATAACATCTAAAAATGCATTTTAAATTATTTTAAAATTACATTTTACAAAGTAGATTTTGTTTTCTACAAAGTAGCCTAGAACCTTTACGTGAAGCTTATTTTATAGCATTTAAAGAGGCTTATTTCATTTCTTAATGACATACCCAAAATAATAGTTCACTTTTATTTAGTTCACTGAAGTATAGATTTCTAAGCCAAATATAACATTCAGAAATATACTGTTTCAATAACTTTCACAACATCAAGGAAATATAGAAAACTTTCACCAAGCTTAGCCTTATGAAATAGTAATGATAACATTTTAGAGCTGGAACATTCTAACAGTCTCAGTTTACATGTTTTATGCTGATTTTAAAAGATTCTCAAACTCCGAGTCTACATTTGATGAGGTTCACACAGATTGTGGCAGATGTAGTAGATGTCATCAAATGCGACCATGCTTCCAGTCAAAGATGATGGCAAAGTTAAGGAACAATTGCCCTACTTCAGGTCAAAGATGATGGCAATTTGAAACAGGGCAGTAACGAGGGAGATGGTGAGAAGTAGATGTATTGTGCCTAAAATGGTGAAGCCAGCGTGAAACGGAAAGGTTGGAAGTACCACTTGAAGCATGTTAAGATGGGCATGCCTGTTGAATACATAGAGGTCCCATCGGGTGTTGGGTATATAAAAAGTATGAGCTGGATTTACACATTTGGAAGTTGTTAGCATAGGGATGGTATTTAAAACCGACACAGAATGGGTCTCAACAAGAGGATGAGCACAGGTAGAAAAAAGAACTCAAGGACAAGCTCTGGTGCATTTGTGTTAGTATCTTTCCCTCCCTGAATCACATCCTCTCTGTTGACCTTTTTAATTCAGCCATTGCTGTAGCAGCCAGCTGCTATGCAGCTATAGCCGCACAGCTCCCTATCTCAGCCGAACTGTGTTATCTCCTGGTTTCGCTCTGGGCTTTCTTTCTGGCCACTACTTGGGAGCCTGTGGTAGCCCCCTCAGCCATTTCAGTGCATGTTTATACCAGGAAGATTTGAAGTACGGGTAACAGCAGAGGCAACCCTTCATCTGTGAAATACATAAATATCCCCCTCATCTACATGTTGCCTGGGCCACTACTAGTTTTATTTTCTAAAGCTAAACCTTCTGGTTTCTCAAAAAGGCCCCAGAAAGAGTGAGCTTCAGTTATTCACAATAGTTGTAATCAACTTAATAAATCACCTTTCATTCAGTTTTCCCTCCATCCCTGATTCAGTTTTCATTTTGGCTCCCCGCTCCTCTTTGGAATCACTTAATAAAAATAACTACATGCAGGCAAGTCCTTGTCTCTGTAATTTCCTTGCCGGGGAACATAAGCTAAAGCAACACCTAACATTGAGAGCACAAAACTGAGAATGAGCAACAAAAATGGTAGGAGGAAAACCAACAGATTGTGGTGTCCAGAAAGCCAACTGAAAAAACGGTGAGGGGGAGGAGTCACCACCTGTGTAAAACACTACTTCAGGTTCAAGTGAGGTGAGGATTGAGGCCTGACCATTGGATTGAGCAACACAGAGGACACTGGCAATGTTAACATGAGCACTTTATTCCAGTGAGTGGCACATCTAGGGGAGAATAAGAGGAGAGGAACCATAGACAGTACGTAGCTGGCACATTTAGTAGCTTCAAGAAGAAGGTTTGTTTGTTTAAAGAGGCGAGGAATAAGAGCAAGCTTGTGTGCTACCAGGAATGATCTAGTAGAAGTGAAGGGGTGATAATGAAGGAGAGAGCAGGGAGAAGAAGGACATGATGGAGCTATCTAATTTCCAGGCAGTGGGGATGGCTCTAAACAGGACCATCTGTGCTAAATTTTGAGTGAGGAGAGTTTGCGGGGCAGATGCTAGTCATTGAGAAGATGTAATGGTGTGCGAACGTGGAAGTTTTCTGATCAACTTTATTTTCTCAGTGATATAGAAAAAAAATTCAGCTGAGAACGGGGATAGAGGATGAGAGTTTGGAGATTGAAGGGGAAAGAAGACATAAAATAGACATTGAAGAGAGAGAGAGAGAATAGATTGTTGTAACTTATAGGGAGTAATTTCCTTATATGACATCATGTGTCTCCCAGATAGAGAGATCTCTTATTTTCATGATGCATCAAGTTCTCTCCAATATTGATACCTCTATTCATTATTAATGCAACAATGAGTGCCATAAAAATACGTGAATTTAAATTGCATAATATTTAAAATGTTTTGTAGATATTGACTGCTTTTATAAAATAAATAATTCTAGGTACATCACAAGAAAATGATATTAATTTGCTTTGAAAGTTCTCTGCCCATGTCTCTGACATGCCTATGTGAATATGATCTGTAGACTCAAGACGGCAGCCTGTGATGGGAATAATTAACATGCTGGGCACAACCAAGTCATTCGATCAAGTAGAGTTGGCCTCTAGTGCCCTCCACTGCTGACCCTCAGCTCCTCTTTTAGGAAGAGTAACCTCATCCCCACTCCGGGTTCCACCCCTTCATGTTTACATATTATTGTACATATTTGTTTCTAATTTCTTCATCCATATGAAGTGCAAATAACTAATAAAACCTCATGCTACCATTTTCAGGGTTATCTGCTTTGTAATTAAATGATGATGAAGTTTTAGACATCAGGAACCAAGTAGGAATTATTTGAGACATCCTGAAGCTCCTACCTAATATTACGCTATGCAAAAAAAAAAAAAAAAATTGTTCGTTTGGCTTGTCATGACCAAATGGAATTCCTTTTATCACCCTGTACAAAACAGCCATTCTCTATATTTATATTCCGTTTCTATGATATGTCGGCCCCAGATATAAAGCTGCTCACTGCAATATTTTCTCTAAGAAATACTCACGGTGTTGTCAGAATCCAGATGTCGTCTGTGGCAGTGATTCAGTTCTTGAGGTGCATAATGCTACAGCAGATGAGGAACTCTTGCTTTTGGAGAAACTACAATTTTCACAACGCGGTTAAATCAAACATTAGCTCAAGTGATTGCAGGTGAACGATTAAGAACCTGATGTGAAACAGGTGTCTTGTGTTTGCTTGACTCTTCTCAACAAGCAGGTTGGCATGGCAAACAGGAAGGAAGCCCATTTCTTTCTCCTGAATGTCTACGGAATTAAAATATATTCTTCAGTTTAAAACATGTTAATTCAAGATGGAAGAATGGGCACAGAAATTTGATTCTTAAAATTTTGAAGATCCTCCAAATGAAAGACTAAAACATAAGTGAATGAATAAATAAGCTAACAGTTTAGGCAGTGAACCTATAACTGCTAAGAAAGCAGAAAATGTGTGGTCACCAGCAAAGGAGAAATTTCCATAAATTCCCAGAAGAAAGAATATGGATGGAAACATGGGAAGATGAAAAAGACAAATAATTCTCTAGCCCATAATACACTACAAAGACACTACCAAGAAGATGGGGATATACCCTGTTGGCAAGAATCCTGCTGGTTGCAAACTGAGCTCAGAGTCAACAGGTAAAGCTGAATTCTAAAGTAAAAAGTGAAGCCCAAAATAGAAGGACTCGGTGAAAGTCTGTAGATGAGATATATGGCACAGCTCTCAGTTACCATCCTCATCCCCCTTTACTTCACCAACCCTCAGAGCAAAAATAGGCTTTATTTGTCTTCTTACAGCAGAAATCTCTACTATAGTAAAATTTAATAAAATATATAGAGACATTTAAGGTGCAAGGCTTAGGTGTCTAATCCCCAGAAAGCCACTCCCTGTCTGGGACTTGGAGCTTCAGTAGTCTGAGAGTTAACTCCTACTTGCGCATCTTAAATGGCAATCTGCTAGTTCATAACACACCTGTTTCACCACGAGGAGCTCCAAAGCACAAATTCTACCCGAGAAAAAATTTATTGGCAAGCATCCTTTTACAGCAATAGCCGAAGGAATTCTCGTAATATAAAAATCTGTGTGGACATCAAAGGATCATTAGGCATACGAGTGAAGAAAGTAGTATGAGAGAAAAACCAAGTGAAGACACAGAGAGAGAAATATAGATTAAATAATAGAGTAAAAAACCCACAAAACTTTTTTTAAAAAACCTTCTTAATAGTCCAAAAAGTGTTCTAAAAGTTATAACTAAAATAAGATGGTGTTATGAAAAAGGAACAATCAAAAGAGAAAGTTATATTAGCAATTTTAAAAGAGAGAAAGAAATGTAAAATATGAGAAAAGTCAAGATATATTGAGGTTCTAGAAGAGAGGAAATAAATCAAAGAAAATTACCAAAAATATTATACAGAAGCTCTCAGAGCTAAAGTATAGCAGTTTCCATCCCACCACATGATGTGCATAATCAATAAAAATAGACCTACACCTTGTTTACAAAACCGAATAAACCGAAAGTAAAGACTTTTTTTTTTTTTTTTTTTTTTGAGACAGAGTCTTGCTCTGTCGCCCAGGCTAGAGTGCAGCAGCGCGATCTCAGTTCACTGCAAGCTCCACCTCCTGGGTTCATGCCATTCTCCTGCTTCAGCCTCCTGAGTAGCTGGGACTACAGACGCCCGCCACCACGCCCAGCTAATTTTGTTTTTGTATTTTTAGTAGAGATGGGTTTCACCATGTTCGTCAGGATGGTCTCAATCTCCTGACCTCAAGATCTGCCCAACTCAGCCTCCCAAAGTGCTGGGATTACAGGCGTGAGCCACCACACCCAGCCAAGATACATTTTTAAAAATATTCCAATAGAGGAAAATATTCAAGAAAGGTGAGTAAAAAAATCACAGGCCACTTACAAAGAAAATAAATAAGACTGACATCAGAATTCTCATCAGCAGCACTGGATTCTAGAAGACAATATGAAAATTCCTTTAAAAGTATAACAGGATACTTATTTTTGACCTATTACACTGCCTATGTGACTAAACTAGTGTTTAACAATGAAAGTAGACATTTTCATACATAGAAGTGCTCATAAAATTTACCTCATAGATATCCTTCTTTAGGAGAAGAACTCAGAAAAAAAGAGAATCAACCAAGAAAATGGAAGCCTAGATATCCCCAATGCAGGAGAGCAGCAAATGAGAATCTCAACATGACAGCTGTACCCTAAGCCTGGCGAGAACCTTCCCTGGTTAGCACAAAACAACAACAACAACAAAACAAACAAACAAAACAAACAAGGAGTCCTGAGAAAAGGCACCCAGAAAGAAAGGATTTCAAGATTAGAAGGTAAAGTTGAGCTACTGGGGAAAAAAATTGAGGAGAAAATTAAGGCAAATTGCGGAAGAAAAAGTAATGCAATTAAAAGCTTTAAAGAGAGGAAAAATGAGAACTATGCAACAGATCAATGATTCAAATACAAAATACAAAGCATAATAAAATGTAACACTATTTTAAGCGTTACATGGAGTGAAAGAAAGGAAAACCCAATTGATCTTGTTGCTAAGGACATTCTTCCTCATGTGGCCCAGTGGCTCTGATACAAAACCTATAGAGAAGGAAATGAAATCCCACTGTACTACGTAGGTTGGCCCTAAGCAATCTGCATAAGGTCATTATGGCAGTTTTAAAAGACATGTGTAAATTATTTGGCACTCCTCCCAACAAGAGGTGGAATCTGTGTCACCTATTCTTGATTCTGGGTCACACAGGGTGACTCCACTTACAATAGAACGAAGCAGAAGTGGCATTGCATAAATTTCAAGTCACACAGCTTCCTCCTCCTCTTTGGAGACAGCTCTTGGGAGTCCTGAGACTCTGAAACTGCCTTGCTATGAAGAAATCAGGCTACATGGAAAGACCATGTGCAAAAGCTCTGAACGCTTTGACTGACAGTCTCGGCTGAGGTTCCAGACAATAGCCAGCATCATCCACCAGACATGTGAGGAATCATTTGAAATGACTTTGCCACCAACCACTTCACAACTCGTCAGTCTTTGACTCTTTTCAGCTGAAGTCTCAAATACCATGGAGCAGAAATAAGTTGTCTTTTCTGTGTCCTGGTGGAATTTCAGATCACAATCTGTGAAATTAGTGAAATTATTATGCCACTATATTTTCAGATGGTTTTTACTCAGCAATAGATAAATGGAACACTGTCTATGGCTCATTAGGATAAAAAAAGAGTGATTCAAGTTGATTATGTACATTAATTAAATTAAACAAGAAAATAAGCAAAATATAAATATCAAACATTGGGGTAGGGAGAGGAGAAAACAGACTAAGTGAGCTAAATGCTCATTTTATATGTCTAGAAATCAGATAAAGTTGATAAATCAATGAGTCTTCAAAATAATGAGTCAAAAATATGTGAGCTATGTAAATGACCTAGAGAAAAATATAATTAAAGCCATTTTGAAAAGAGGCTTTCTCTGAAGAGTGATACCTGAGTTTAGGAAATAAAGCTTAAGAAATTGTTCGTAGTCACTTAAGATAATTTGCATTATTTTGCTTCCAAATATATGTATCATTTGAATAAGTTATCATTTGAATAAGTATTTGAAAAAGTTACAAATACTTATTATGATTTCTAATTTTATTTAGCAATGACAAGTGCAAATGAAAAACAAATTTTAAAAAGTTAATGCAGCAAGATGTCATAAGTTTCCACATCAAATTATCAAACCTGAAAAACACTAAGTTTGTCAATATTTCAAGAGTTAATTCGGCCAATTTTCTCATGCTGTTGATGCAAATGTGACTTGGCAAAAAGCAATCTGTCTTGAAAGAAATCTGTCAATATATATCATGAACTGATACATGCAGGTAAATCTACATGCTCAACAATGTTCATTTCAGCATTATTTGGGAAAAGATTTTAGTTTAGCTTAGACTTTATCAGTGCTGAACAGTCATGCTTGTCTGAGGAACTGGTGAGGTAGAATCAATACGACGCTTATTCGAATGTGGGTTGAGGAGCTCCCTGGGACAATATGAAAGCTCTTTCTGTGGCTTCTGTTTAGACAGATCTTAAGAAGCCTAGAAAATTGATGGTACAGGCCAGTTGATTTATCATACATGAAAGGCAAGAAGCCTAGAAAATTTTCCCCATAATTACACATCTTAATCCTCTGCAGAAAAAAAAAAAAATCTATTTAGGGCAATGTGTCAGCAATAACAGCACTGCTTGGTGACCCTTTAACAAAGAGTAAGTTAATGATAGAGAGAGAAATTTACCCTCATTTTTTTTCTGAGACTATTCCTGAGTTATGGAGAATTTAGTGCATCTGTGGTATCAAGTGCAAAAAGAAGGTTCCCAAGAGATGTTGGTCCTGGAAGAGCATCACATGCCAGGTAGCACCAGCAGGAATCATCTTATTCATAAGCATTTGTGAGTAATCCCCATGGACAGTCAGTAATATATAGAGGTACAGTTAACTTCCTTGGTTGCTGTCCAAGTCTGTTTGTGCAAAACCTTGAACAGATGTGGGCAACAACCAGAGAAGTTAAACATATATAGCAAAAATATTGAAAACAATCCAAAAGTATTCATCACTGGAGGAAAGGTTAATTATGTTATAGTTTATTTTGAAAAAGTGATGCTTGCCAAGAGCAAAACATGCTTATATAATACAGCAAAAAGAAAAGAAAAAAATCAATATATAGGCTACATATGTAATATATAGGCTCTATATATAACATGTAGCCTATATATGTGTGCCATATATACATATGTGAGCATGTATGTTATATATTTTATATTTATGTATTATATATACCTATATATTATATATAAAATATATATTTATACGTAAGATACACCTTTATATATTATACATAAATATATATTCTATGTATTCTATCTTTATATAAAATATATAAATATGTATTGATATATATCATATATCTTCATGTATTATCTATAAATATATATTTTTATATGCACTATTATAAATATCTTTATATATTATATATACATATTATATATCTTTATATATATTATATGTGTATATATATAAAGTACTGGAAGGGAAGTATTAAAATTAAGTGAAATTACAGTTAAATCCAGAGTATGTTATGCTGCAGTCTAATTCTTGCTGATTGCTACCGTTTTATCTCAGGTCAGCAGGTGTACTTTACACACAATAGAGACTAGAAGACATCAAGCTAGAAAAATAATAAGTTATAAGTATTGTGGAGGGTGCTGTTAGGCCAATGTTCTCATATGTTATTGATGCAAATGTGACTTGGTAAGGAGAAACCTGTCTCAGACATGTGGGCTGAGGGACCAGCTACCATCTGTGCCAGAAAAAAAAAAAGAGAGAGCTCTGAAAGTCTCACATCAGCAATCAAATGTCCCAGCCCAGAAGTGACCCATGTGACTTCCACTCAGAACTCAGTGTCCTGAACTGTCTCACTGTCACACCCAAGCCTAAGGGCTATAATCTTACCATGAAAGTAGACCAGAAAGTATAATCTCACCATGTCGCCAGAAAGCTGAAAACTAATGACTATACCAGATTTTTAAGTTGATATGCAAGAGTTTCCAAATAATTACTATGATATACACAAAATATAAAGGAAAAAAAACCTAAGTAAACTTCCAAACTGATTAGATTCATTACATATTCTCTCTTCTTTTTTTTTTCCCTCCTTTTCTCCTCCTCCTTTCTTTTTCTCTCCCTCCCTCCCTCCCATTTTCATTCCTGATAATGTAGAACCAGAAGACACTATGACTATGTATATAGTGGAAGCCTTTGCCTCCCTAGTTAACTGAGGTTCATTTTACCTTATTTGAATATTCTTCCCACTGTCAGGTGGCGCTGCCTTCCATCATTCATGGGTAGAGAAAATGGAAAGTGAATGTCACTACTGACAGCAGAATCGCATGTTCAAAGTGTAGTGGAAGTTCTCATGGTTGCTGTATGATATTAAAAAAAAATAAGGAATTTAAAAGATACATTGTCAGGCATGACAAGATACCCCTACCTCCTGTCTTTTGTCTCTATCTTTCATTCTACAAAGTATTACAAAATTAATCTTGTTAAAGTACAGATCTAATAATGTCATAGTATCTTTCAACCGAGACACATTCCCTGCAGAATAAAGTAATGATTTCTTAGTCTGACATTCAGTGTCCACAAAGTGGTCTTAATTCATTTATCCAGCCCATCCTTCCACCATCTGCCTGTTGACATTTCCAGTTCGTAATGACAGACCACCTCCAAATGAGGCTGGATTTCTTCTATATTCACGGCTTTATTTGTGCAATTCTCTTTGCCCAAAAGGCTTGTCTTCCTTATCTCCAAGTTCATACCAATTCCTGAAGACTCAAATAGTAGTTTACTGCTGCCTCAAACCTCCTCAATATCTCCAGAAACAAAAATCACCTCTGTCTTCCATGACTGCCACAGAACTATCTACATTTACAACTATAGCACAAGAGGGAAAATATCAAACCACAGAATGTTTATGAACTTTCATTATGTACATCACTCAAAGCAGCTCCAGAATTTCTTTATAGGAGAAGGTTAAGGAAGTGATGAAGGGTCATTTGCAGTTCAAGAGAAAAAAAAAACCCCTAAATTTGCCTTTGCCAGGACAAAAGTACCTATGCTTTGGTTATTTGGAGAAACTTGGTGGGTAAATAGTATAGAGAAAAAGGCTAAAGCCACTTCAAGTTCAGCCTTGTGGCATCACTACCTACACTAGAATGAGAGAAAGGGCTTTGCCTTACTTTTTAAGTTTCCAAGTAAGAGTTATTCAAATATATATAAACACATAGAGAAGAGTTATCATAATGTTTACTAATGTTATAATAATGTATAGCCCATTTGTCATAAGAAACATTGCTACAACTGCCCCAAAGAGAATAGAAAAATATCTGCATGCTCTCTTTAGTGTCTCTTTTCTTGGGATTCCTTTCTTTGGATGACCTCTTGCCTCTTAGCCAAGTTGGATTGCTTCTTGCCACCATGGCGATACAACAAGATGCTCCCAGCTTGTACTGAGGACCTATCACATGCTTCAGTTTTTGGAAGCCTTTCTGATTGGCCAACTGACATCCAGGCCTTAAGAAAATATTCCATTTGTGGCAGTGCCCTTTCTCTTGGGTTTGTGTTTCTCTGATTTTGTTCACATTGAAGAGCTTTGATCTCCTGAGCCAAGAACAGGATCCTAGCCTAAAGGACTGGTTCCTAAAGCTAAAGGGACTAAAATGATCTCTGACACGTGCAGTGTAGTCCATCACCATGATCAGGGAGTATTCCAGAGAACTGCTGATGAAATGTCTGTAACACTGAAAAGTGAGCCATTGCCTGAAGTGTTGTCTCTGCACAACTCTCAGGTCATAGCAGGGATGACTTCTGGTTGGATATTCAAAGATTTATAATCCCAGACATTTCTATCATATTCATGCATTGATTTAGTGTGCTTACAATACATATTTTTCAATATTTGCTAGATGTCCATCAAAAACACTACTGACAGTGTTCAGTCTGAGTTTGTGAGAGGAAAAAAATTTAAAAACTCAACCTAGTCTGACAAAAGTAGAATGAGACTATCGGCTCATATATTTAGGAAGCATGATGAGTTTAACCTAAAGCATGTCAGTTCCAAGAAATAAAATTATGTCATTGGATCTCTCTCCATTTCTTGACATTTCTGTGTGGGGTCTCCGTTGTTTAAAGCAGCACCTCTTTACTTTGTAAAAAAGATGCCTAGACAACTACCAACAATTCCAAGTATATATCCTGTTGTCCCGGCAACTCTAGAAAGAGAGATTTTTTTTTTTTTCCTCAATAGGACTAGCAGAGAAATCTAGAGAGTATTTTGATTGGCCTAGTTTGGTCATGTGAAATGGTCATTTTCTTCTCAGGGTGGACTCCAATTAACCAAGCCAGGACATGGCTTGATGGGTCATGTGACTATGCTGGCAGTAGGAGGTGGGTGAATCTGGAATGAAAAACCATTAGGAAAGAGGAATTCTGTCATTTAAAAAAAAAAAAAGGGGAAAAGAATTGAAGCAAAAAAAAAATGACAATTGTACAAAGTAGGTATATGTTAACATATATATACAGACACACACTTTTCATTTATCTTGTGCATGTATTGGATTTTTGTCTTGCTTTTCTAGTTATTTTACCATTATTTATCTGGCCTTAGACAGTTACCCAGAGCTAATCAAACTGCAGGGTCTGAGAAAGCAGTCCTCACAAGAATGCCTTCACTTTTGACACCGATTATAAGTTTGGTGGGGTGGGGGAGCGGGGTGTTTGGTCATCCACTAGAACTTATAAACATCACTGAAAGCTGTTATCCTCATGGTTGTTTATTATGAGGAAATATGAGGAAATAGTTTAAAAACAGCCAAGGGAAGAGACACACAGGCAGACAGTCCAGGAGGAGTCCCATTACCAGAAATCCCAGTTGTCCTCTCCTATGGAGCCAGGGACAGTGCTACCTCCTCCTGGCCATGATGTGACAATGTACATGGGATATGGCCAACCAAGGAAGCTCACTGGAGCCTTTGCTGACCAGAGGCTTTATTGGGCTAATCCCATACTCCCCAAATGACAGACACGTACTCAGTCCTTCCAGAGGTTGGAACTTAGTCTCCAGTTCCTCCATAGATGGGAACTGAAACGCCTTGGCTCAAAGCCCCATCAAAAATAACATTGTTCATCTGTCCAGTGAACAAAGCCCTTAGGCAAAAAAAGATACTCCCATCAGACAGGACTTTTGAGGAACCCAGGGATCACCTTGCAGTAGCTGAGGACAAAGGCCAGACCTCTCTCTGGGTAAGGTTAATTCTTCACTACACAACAGAATTTTAAGTGTCAAATCCAGGCAATGCCAATTCACTTTAGTGAAATAGCTATTTCATTTATTTTCTTAAATTGCTAATGAAAAATAATATTTTAACAACTTCTCTACACAGGTCCCTAGTTATATGATGAATATTTCTTGCTTTACTTCAGTTTCACTGGTGTGTAAAGAATTAATGAGGCACAGCTCACAGATTGATGTTCATATTTATTAGTTTTTGTTCTTTTGCTAAACATGCCCTGTGTAATCTTTGATAATCGCTCAAGTTATTGAAAAAGGGTTTGCACAGCCTTGATATTATTTGCTTATTAATCTGTGACAAACCGTAAAATTATTTTCACCATGACTACCTCATGGAATTTGCTCACTCTGTCTCTGATTTAAGTAGCAATGCACAATGTCAACAGCTTTTAAAAGTCTCTTTTTTTCGGGAACAGAACTATATGAATATCATCTTTTTTTTTTTCATTGGAGATATACAAAAGGGACTGAAAATGTTCTTTAAAAATACAATCACTGATATGGTTTGGATCTGTGTCCCCACCAAATCTCATGTTGAATTGTAAGACCCAGTGTCGGAGGTGAGGCCTGGTGGGAATTGTGGGGTCAAGGGGGCAGATTCCTCATGGCTTGGTGCTGTCTTTGCTAATGTGAGTGAGTTCTCCCAAGATCTGGTTATTTAAAAGTGTGACATCTCTACCCGCCTACTTTCTCTCTTGCTCCTGCTTTCGCCATGTGACGTGCCTTCTCCCACTTTGCCATCTGTCGTGAGTGAATCTCCCTGAGACCTCTCCAGAAGCCAAGCAGGTGCCCGCTGTCCTGCTTCCTGTACACTCTGCAGAACCATAAGCCAATTAAACCTATTTTCTTTACCAGTTACCCAGTCTCAGCTATTTCTTTATAGCAATGCAAGAATGGCCTAATAACATTCTTTAGCTTTGACTTGAGGAATTATGTCTCATGCCTATTCAGTACAGTCCTGCTGATACAAAACGCCAAGTATCTGAGACTGACCAGCAAAAATCTTCTTGAGACAACATGCTGAGGGTTCAAACTACATCTCCAAGTGATGATAAACTTCCACTAAAATTAAGAATTTGGCAGTGGCTTCAGAGTATACATCCTCAATTTGATCGAATCTGGCTGTATTTTGGTTACTACAAATTTTACCCTACCAGGGGCAAGTCTGCAGCACATCACATCAGTTTGTTTCACATAGCTTTAAAACCACAAGTTTAGGCTGGACGCGGTGGCTCAAGCCTGTAATCCCGGCACTTTGGGAGGCCGAGACGGGCGGATCACGAGGTCAGGAGATCGAGACCATCCTGGCTAAGCCGGTGAAACCCCGTCTCTACTAAAAAATACAAAAAACTAGGTGGGCGAGGTGGCGGGCACCTGTAGTCCCAGCTACTCGGGAGGCTGAGGCAGGAGAATGACGTAAACCCAGGAGGCGGAGCTTGCAGTGAGCTGAGATCTGGCCACTGCACTCCAGCCTGGGCAACAGAGCGAGATTCTGTCTCAAAAAACAAAACAAAAACAAAAACAAAAAAAACAAAAAAAAAACCCCACAAGTTTAGTAAAAACTGCCATTTAGATGGCAGTCCGGATTCATTCACTTAAGACAATCTGATGTATCAACCAAAAGAAAACAGTAAAACATTGCTCTCCAGAAGGTTCACTGCTTATACCTCATTCTACTCTTCACTGACTCTGTATTTTCATTTTAAAGGTTACTTTTTATTTCTTAGACTGTATTTTGAGACATTATAACCGCAGGATGACCGTAGAAACCTTTGTGATATAAGATATGAAATCTCTGAGCCCAATAACGAGCTCTAGAGTTAGAGATTCTCATCAATGACCTGCTGGGCCAGAGTTGGCTCAAGATGATAAATATATGCTCCCAAGTGTTTTCATACTTCTTCTAGTTTCTCATAGTAAATATCCAACTTGTGTGCCACCTCATCATGAAGCATCCTCCTGGACAATGCTTTTCTAGAACTGAACACATGCAGATGAAAAATTAGGAAGATTCTGGTGAAGAAATAATCCTTTCCTGCCTCTCTCCTAGCTCACTGTGGCTGCCAGTATTCC